ATGAAGGGTCTAGGCCCGAAACGTCAGCCTCTCTGCTCCTATGATGCTGCTTGGCCTGCTGTGTTCATCCAGCCCTGCACCTTGTTGTCTCGGATTCTCCAGCATCTGCAGTTCCTACTATCCCTATATACTGTGTTGTCCACCTCTCCCTAAAGGGAGACAGGTGTTACTTAACCCAGGAGTGTATCTGAGACAGATCGCAATTGTGTTTCTTCCCATAAAAAGCACCAATTATTCAATTAAATAATCATTTCATTCTCCCTTTAGACAGTGAATCTGTCCTTGGAGTATTTATCAAAAATTTGGTCAAGCCTCCTGCACATAGCTTCTGAATGACTAAATGCAATTTTTAATATGTCACTGCTGTAATTTTGCACTAATGGTGAAGCTCTATAGATCTTCTCTGTGAAATATTAGCTTTATTCCCTTGATCAGTGAAGATAATTGGGTATCTAATGAGTCAATAGGTTACAGTCAACTGCAAATACATTTCCGAGGGAAATGATGAGTTAGACATCCAAGATTTTTTAAGGGCTTCAATTTATCTTCAAACAGGGGGAGAAAACAAAGAAAATATTTGTTAATAGCTAGATGACATCTCCGTGCTCTTGTGATGTAGCAACTATGGAAGCATGAAATAGCTGACAAGCCATATTAATGCATATGGGAATAGAATGGAGCCTTTACTGGTCTCAAATGTGTGATAAATTCAAGATAAAAGGCATGCTGTTTTGACTACATTTGATTAAACATAAATTATTTGAAATGTAACAAAGATGGCAATTAAACAGCAAAGACCCAAGTCTCTCAGTAATTCTAAGCATTGTTATGAATCATTTCCTGATTGACCTTCATTTGATTTTGTTGATTTTTCTGATCATACCAAGGTTACTGTCACCCTTCCCTAACAGTTTTACTGTTCAACTCAAGTGGTGAAAGTTCTGGATATATGTACACAACTGCAAGGATCAATGAAGTAAGAAGAACAGAATGAATTGAGGTGAGATTTCAGTTAAAATGTTGTCAACCATTGGAAGGTACAACTCAACTCGGACAGTTGCTAATTCTTGAGTTTCTTGTACCTATTTTGTACCTCGACTGAGCATTACTGACACTGAAGAGTAGATAAGACAACAACACTTTCGCATTGTTTATTGATTATTTGTCATTCTATTTAAAATTACTTTGTATTAAAGTAGAAAAGTTTGTTAAAAGTATGTAGTTTGTAGTTACAAAAGCAACACGATTCTATGATGGTCACACCTACTTAAGCCTGGTGAAATATTTTATGTGTACAAGTTTAATTATATTTTTAAAGTAATGACTTACACAATAAGATATTACTCCTTGAACTGATTTCTTTTGGTGAAATGAAGCATTCTCCTTCTTTTGACACTTACTGAAATTATTTATGTAGAAGTACACATTGCTTTTTGAACAAAGGAGAAGTACAAAATATGATAGGGTAGAAGTAAAAAAAAACAAAATAAAATAAATAATAAATAAAATAATTTATGTGAATTCTGTAAGAGAGATAACAGACATTTAACTATTGGGTAAAAAATTGAAATAGAACTGTGTATCTGCTTAATGCATGTGGGAACAGAATGGAGCCTTCACTGGTCTCGAATGTGTGATAAATTCAAGATAAAAGGCATGCTGCTTTGACTACATTTGATTAAACATAAATTATTTTTAAAAGATTTGGCCCAGAAATCTAACTGTTGCAGTTTGAGGGATTAGGGACTTCCCAGGAACTACATTTGACACCAATTAAAGGGGATATCAGAGCAAATGACCAGATGATTGGTCAGGTTTTAAGTAACAGCTCGAACGTGGAAAAAGAGGCAGAAAGATTTATGGATTGAATTCCAGAGCTTTAGACCTTGACTCCTAAAGACACAGCCACCAATATTGGAGCAACTAGCATGAGGGAAATTCAAGAGGTCAGAATTGGACAGACACATATATCTCGGACAATTGCAGGCCTGGGGAAAATTACAAGGATTGGCTCTAATGTGTCTTCTTTCTCAATCTAAGCAACGACATAAGAGACTGACAATATTATGGGCCACAGTTTTGCTCTAAGAGTGAATATAACAACATTTGTAATTAGCTAGATATGCTCGTGCACATTTATTGATTTTTTTATCTGATAAGTTGGTGAGAGAACACGTTAGTAATATTGTAGCAAATGAGCAGGGCAATTACCCCTCCTTAGTCAATCAGATTGAGGGATTGTAAAGTTAACAGCCTAAGGAGTGAAATGGAAGCGTAAATTAGTGTGGGTGAATTCAATATCAAAGTAGGTACCAAAAAGAAATAAAGAAAAGATTGAAATAAGAAGAGGAAAAGAAAGACAGGAAGTAAAGTGAAACAAGCTAAACATTTCTGTGTTTTTTTTATATATCTCCAAAAGCAATTGAAATCTGAAAAAAAATTAGACTTTACATCATTCAGTACCAGAGAGGTTGATTGGTTGTACTTAACACTTACAATGTTTTCAAAACATACTTATAGAGAAATGGAGAAAATGTAACTTTCTGTAGTGCATGATGTGAGTTTGCCTCTATCAGGACATTAATGTGATACAACAAAACTTACACTATCCCTAGGCTAATATTGAGTCATAGGACTATACAAAGCAACATGCTTCTAGTAGCTTGTCATGCTTCAGGTGATTCCAGTCAAGATGTAGTATGAGAATGGTATAGCCTCAGATCATATGCTTTGATTAGATGATGATAACATGATCATGTATCTTACAGGTGCCCTGATTGTGAAACATAAAATACCCCCCTTTTTCAAAAGATAAAAAACTTATACCATACATCACCACATGTTGCCAATTTCATAATTATACAAACAGATAAAACAGAGTTTAAAAAGTTAGCATTTCAAAGTTCAATGGAACCCTTTGGAGATTTGACAATTTATCCTGATCTAGTAAACATATGCATGGTGTTTTCTGCTGCATTTGTTTGGCAACTTGGTCTTCTCGCTGCACAATCATCATCATTAGAATTTTCTTCTTCACTTTCTTTGTGCATGCTTGGCGTGCTGTACATTGTTCTGAGTTGGCTTCTGTTCCATCATAGTGCAGCACCATTTCAGTAATGATTTTGTGTGATCTGATTGCATATTCCAGAAGCCTTTGCACGTATTAATACTTGTATTTCTATCTTGCACTTTTTACCCAGTTCACAGTTCTGGTCATTTTTCTACCTGTGTGTATCTTTTTCATTCTCCTCTGTCTTTCAAGGAGAATCTCCTGTGTCTTAGAATGGCTAGGCAATTGGTTGACAAGGTCATTTGAGCATAATTTGTGCTGGGTATGCAAACCCCATCTCAATTGGTGTTGTATAAAAATGCAGCAATGCGATGCAAAAATCTTGTTTTGTTGCTCAACATTTAATGATCATCGATTCGATAGTACGTACCCCACACTGTGCTAGGGCATGTGATCATGGGCTGTGGAGGGACTATTTATCACACGTCTTTAAATAGTTTGCTGCTGTATGTGGTTGCTTGTCAGCCACTATCTGATCTGAGATACTCAATAAGCTGAAAATAACATTCATAGTGTCAGAAATGGTCTCACTCGTTGTGTGGCTGAGTCGAAATGGGAAATTTAGAGACATCATCCATCACAAGGATGTAATCTCCCCCATGCACTGTGAGTAGTTCTAATGCTACTGTTGCCCAAGGAGTGGATGAAACATCGTGTAAATGCAGATAATCGTTCTGCTCCTGCGGTTGGTACATCACATGTGTGTTCACATATCATTGAATTTCCCAATTCATCCCTGGACAGTACACACCTTTATGCGTTTGCCACCTTGTACGTTCAATACCCATTTATCTCTGGCGTAATATGGACATGTGATCTTTATGCAATGTTACTGGCACATGCTGCAGGTGTAAGATTGATGTAGCACAGTGCCACACAGCAACATGTCCGCCCCCCCTTGACTATTCACTGTTAACAAATCTAACAAGCTGCCTGGATTTGTGTCTGTGCTAAGTGACAGGGCAAGACAGAAGGACTGTGAGCCTTTAAATTTTAAAATGAGGTGGCAAGGTGCAACAGGCAAGGCAAGGCAGGGATGCTGTGAGCAGCTAAGTAGACGCAAAGTGAGTGAGTACAAAGAGAACACATGAGAAGCCCTGAAAAATACATTGCTCCATACCATGAGGCAGGTGCCCATCACTGGGCACCATGTAGCCTGGCAGGAACACCACAATGCAAGCTTTCATTGCACTTCAACATGCAGCGTTGAAGTGAGTAACTGTGTTCTACATGAGTTGAAGATGTGCCATGATGGTGCGGTACATGTCCGCTGCCAATCTGCATGAACAGGTGGTCGCTGCCCATGGAACATACCCTGCGATGTTTCAGAGCAGGGAGGTCATGCTGGAACTGCATAAAACATTGGTCAGACCACAGC